AACCTGTATTTGTAGAATTTTTCAGTTTGTAATCTAATATCATACCATATTCTCCCTATATCCCATTAACAGGTCCGTTATGTTTCATCAAGCAAATAATTTCCCCATTTATGCATGATGGAAGAACATTTCAGTAACGTTTGTAGCATCAAAGCTTCCTTTCACTTAATATTGCTTTAATTCATGTTTTTTATTTCTAGATTCTCATTTTGTCTGTTGAAAAGTTCAGATGAAAAAAATATTCACATGTTTTGGATGTTTGAATGGGATACTCTGGAACAAACAGAAAATTTTGATGAATGTGTGGCTTTTTTAAGTATAAGAGGACAGTAGTCTTAGACCAGTGGTTCTTAAACTGTATGACCCAATTACCCCTTTTCCCAGTTTCAAATAATATTGTTACTCCCACAAAAAACCCAGACTACCTTGTTTTACACAAGTGTCTTGCCAGCAGCAATCAAACTGGATCCTTAACTCACAAACAAGCAATTATAAATAGCTCCATTACCCCCAGGATAGGCCCAGATTAGCTTCTTCAAGGGAATTACCCCCATTTTTGGAGGGTAGAACAGTGTTTGTAGAACAGAGGTTAGCAAAACTTCTGTTTTATTTGACTAAAATTATATTAGAAATATTTCAGAAACTGAAAATACACTTGTCTTGGGATTGACATAGTACAGGTAGTCCTTGCTTAACAACCATTCGTTCACTGACCAATCACAGTTCCAGCAGCACTGTAGTTACGACTGGTCCTTGAAGTTCTAGCCGTTGCAGCACTTCCGCGGTCACATGATCAAAATTTGGGCGTTTGGCAGCCTGCTCTCACTTGACTGCAGGGGCGCTTCAACTCTCCCAGCCACATATCTCCCCACTTCTCTGCCCTTTTAGACACTCTGTGCTCTGCCACATACTCCCGCTGCCCCCCACCCCCACAGCTGACTTTCACTGTCTTCTTCTTCCTCCTGCTGCTGGCCTGGGATCCAGGCACTAGGCAAAGGTGCAGCCCTGGGACGGGCACGGTGAGCACAGCAGGGTGGCAGAGCCTCGTCTGCCGAAGGGAGCTTGCCAAGCCCAGCCAGGGAGGAGGGAGTAGGACGGGACAGTGAGGCACCGTGCTCTTTGTTGCTGGGTGAAGCAAGAGAAGCAGCAACAGTGGCTCCCCAGGCAAAGGTGGAGGCTGTGCGGGAGGTGCTATTTGGGTTGGCGGCAGAACTAGGGAAAGCGGGGGGACAAGAGCTTCATGGAGGCACAGCGTGCACTCTGCAGCTTGTGTCGGAAGTGCTCCTGGAGAGCCAACCTGCAGGCTTCAGCGATGGGTGGAAGTAAGTCCAGCTCCAACATAGCCTACCACAGACTTCCGACCTGCTCTCAGCCCAGACTTCCTCCTGAAAAGCCTAGTGAAGGGCCAGCAGCTTCCAACATGAGCTGCAGAGTGAGTGCTGGAAATGCCCCTGGAGAACCGATCTGTGGGTTTCAGTGCATTGGAATGGTGGGGGGGGGAGTTTAAGTGGAGGTGAGTGCAGCAGGACAGGAGGAGCATGAGGTCCTTGCCTAATGACAGTGCAGTCCTGGCTGTCAGGTTCAGCCCAAAGAACTCCAAGAGACAATGCAAATACAGTTCTGTTGCATTTATTAGCTTCAACCTCCAGACAGAAAACTCCCCCCACTGAAACCTAGT